TTTGTGTGCGTGTACCGTCAAATCAGATCTGACTGGTACAGGAGGATATTGCGCCTCCTTCTCCGGCAGAGCATCTGGTGGATTCGAACCGTGTTCCTCTGGGATTGCAGTGCAGCTTCTTGCCACTAGGCCACCAGAGCTCCCCTGAATGTGCTACTTTTCTGACAATTAAATTAATTTTTAAAAGAAAGATTTTTGAAATGTAAAATTTTAAATCTTCTACATAATAAATCATTGATTTATTGTTTCACCTGTCCAAGTTAAAGCCTGAAAAATTTGCAATAAATTAACACAATAAAGTGTGAATTTTTCCTCTGACTATTGAAGTACTTTTACTGGTCTTGTCACTTGTAATCTATATATTCATGAATTTTCTAGGAAATGTGCTTTCAATTTTTTTATCTCTTGAATCATATGTATGACTTATCTTTGCATTTCTAATTATTGATGATATAATTTAAAATGCTAATTGAAATTGAAACATCAAGCTATTACCATACAAGTTGATTGGGAATTATCACTTAATTATGTAGGAAGTATTCGGATCATTAGAAGCCCTGATGGCATAGTAGTTAAACTCTTGGCTGCTTATGTAAAGCATGGTAGCTTGAACCCATTAGCAGCTCCACTGGAGAAAGATAGAAAGATTACAACCTTGGAAACCTTCTAGGATGATTCTGTTGCAATGATATAACACAAGCTTGTTGAAAACAGGTTATCTGAGTCACAGCCATAATTGATAGTTTTGGGGTTTTATTCTCCCCCCATCTTCATGATAATCAAAGCAGAACTGTTTTTGCAAAACTAAAATGTACATGTGTATTTTACAGTCTAATTTTTTATCTTCAACTTGTGTTCCTGTGTGTTTGAATATGGTTGTATAGGCTGACATTAATTGCTTCATTTAACAAAGTAAAATTAAAAAGCACAATTTATGTTTCTCCTTTATCTAAAATAGTGTATCCTTCATACCATGATATTTATGATTCTTACTTACTAGATGATTTGACATGGTACTTTTCTAGTAATTATGATTCTTTGTTTTATGAAAGCCACACACATTCGATATTCTTAAGAACAGTGGCACAAATTTATCAAATTCTAGTGTATATTCACTGGAAATTTTTTTTCCTCTCTGTATTTGTGTTTGCAAAAGTTCCACCATGATTTCATCTATATTCAAATGGAAAAAAGATGTTAAAATTCCTTTATAGGGGCTAGAGAACATTTGTCACACTTCTGCCCCCTGGTGGTAGCCTTCATTTTGCCACCTTTACAATGTCTTAGACTTGCTTCGTTTAACATATATAAATAATACAAGACTATAGTGGGAGAAAAGGGAATTAAAATAATTAATAATAATAATAATTTTTATTATAGGTTGATAACCTAAGGAAATATTATTCAGTTAAAATAATCTAATTTGTCATCTATTAAAATTGTACTGCCTTCATGTGCTATAAATCTAAAAAAATTTACCTTTAGGGTAATAGTTAATTAGGGCTACAGAATTAAACTCTGAAAATTCTTTCTAGATTAATTATATATTTATCAATAGCTCTGGTGGACTAGAGGTAAGAAGCAGCACTGCAATCCCAAAGGCACATAATTCAAATCCATTCATGAGAGAAAGATGGGCAGTCTCTCCTTCCATGAGATTCACTGCTCTGAAAACCTGCTGGTGCAGCAAGCTATAATCAACAGTGCACAACAAATGCACAATAAAAATTAAAACACATTAATGTACTAAAAGGTCTAATAAATAGGGAAGTAAGAGTACTGTTAGTGGAATTTAATTATTGATTCAAAATGTGAAAGGTTTTCATATTAGTAAAGTATTCTTATTTAGTTTGTAATTGACATAGTGTTTATCACTTTTTGAGCAATACCAGTGGTGTTGAATTTGATCTTAAAATGTAAATAATAGGTTCATTCATCTTTAGTAAGCAAGTTTTTCTTGGTAACTTTATTACTAAGCTTTAAAAATAGTATGAACTTTGTGGGCAGCTATAGATATATCTGCTTATGCTATAAACTAAAAACTCAAGAAAAAATATTTCTCAGTCTTTTACTGTTCGCTGGGTTTCTGTGTACACATTTGTAGCAATTACTAATTATTTTCTTTTACATGTAATTTGTGAATAGTTTGGAATCTTGCATTTTTTCCATAGAAATCATAAGACGTAGAAATATTGGTCAAATTTAACAATGAATGTCTCAGAGACTAATATAATTGCTTCATTTTTAATCTGTATTAAAGATTTTATAAGAAAAATTAGAAAAAAATTTTAGCAAAGAATTTAACCTTAGTATATTTTTACAGTAATTTCTTTTCAGTCTTCAGTAATTTGCAAAATTGCCTTGACTCAAGTAGAAATACACAGTATAATGGTTTTTAATATAAAATGAAATTAAGTCTCACTATACTATTCTGATTTTTCAATCATTCAGGAATAATAACCTACTGGCCATCTGTTTTTTATGAAATTTAACATGTATAAAATTATATTGCAGGTTATAACACTGTCATAAAGATTCCCGCTGGAGCAACAAACATTGACATTGTTCAGCGCAGCTATTCTGGAAAACCAGAGGATGACAATTACCTTGGTAAACATTTCTAGGAAACAGCAGCCAATATGCAGTTCATGTGCAATTTCATGGAGGTCTGCGGTTGATGTAAATTCTTAGACGTCAAGAAAGAGTCCCTTGAGCAAATATGTAATTTCAGTTCACAAAGCTCAGGCTGTCTGATTCTCTATACATGTGTTCTTCTTGAGTTATACAAAATATATACTTAAAAAACACAGCTAAATTGTGAAAGGCAAAGTTGTTTTCAATTTTCCCCAGAAAAATATATTAGAGAACTAAAAATTATGTTCTGTTAAATGCATACATGTATATTTAGAACAAAATCCTCTTCTACTATTTATTTTTCATTTATTCTAGACTTTTTTGAGTTTAGATCTTTTTTAAAAAGTAATGTAGTAAAATATTAAAGACAATTTTTCATTAAAGAAAAGCAGAATGGCGTGCTTTCCTATTTTTAGACATTAATTAGTATAATCACAGTATATGGTCCTTTAGCTATTTTCAAAATTCTTTTTACTTAATTATTAAACATTGGCTTTCAGCTTAATAGGTTTACGCATAAAGTAATGTTTTAAAAGCCCTTTCCTTTGTTGTAAGTAGCCTGATGGTACAATATGTTAAGCGTTGGATTTTTAAATGAAAGATTAGCAGTTGTAACCCATCAACTGCTTCTTGGGAAAAGATGTGACAGTCTCCTCCCTTTAAGATATACAGTCTTGGAAAACTCATGACATATTGACTGAAAAAGTTAGAACTGACATGATCTTAGTATGTTTTAGGGTTTCTTTCCATGTGAGAAATATTGTATTATTTCCTTACCCTGTAATCTCCAAGTTGAATCAGTGATGAAGAATTCATATTGATAAAGTACCTGTTATACAGTATTAATATTAATAACTAATAATATTAGGTTACCCAGATGATTAGTGATTAAAACCAGAAATGCAGATCTATAATAAACAATGTATTTTAGGATTAACATTTGCCATTCTAATCTCAAACATAAATATATTTGTTATATTTTTGGAACAATTGTATGATTTATGCAGTCATTTGAATAATCTGCATTAGTTGAAGTTCTCTTTTTGGTTTAAAATGTGTCAGTGTGTGTACATACATATGCTATCTTATTATAGAAAACTAATATGTCTCTGTGTATTTACAAATGTAGATGTTTTTATTTTCCTGGAATAGCCAAATGGTTCTGCTCAAACTTAAAAATTATAAATATTGACCAACAAAAATAAGAATATACTTTATAAGAGAATTACAAACACACATATCAATGTCTACATATACATAACTGAAGCCAAATTCATGAGTGTTGTGTTGTAGTTGACTTCTGGTGACTCTTGAGTGAATTTCCGAGTCTATAAGTTTTTTATAGAAAGAGGCTGTCCATATTCCTCCCATAGACTAGCTGGAGGGTTTGAACTGCGAACCTTTTGGCTAGCAGCTCAACATGAAATGCACTACCCTGCAAGAAATGTGTGTGTATGTGTGCATACACATACCTAAAAGACACAAATACACACACACACACACACACACACACACATATGGTTTGTAGCTTTTATTTGCAATGAAGGAGCCATGGTAATGCAAGGATTACATGCATAGAACGCACCAAAGGATTGGTGATTTGGATCTCTGAGTGGCTCTTTGGAGAAAGATGCTACAGTTTGCTTTTATAAAAGTTATAACTTTGGAAAACCTATTGGGGAAATTCTGCTCTGTCATGTGGGTTCACTATGTGTCAGGATTGCTTTCACAGATCTCTAATAGGTTAGTAACAGTCAGTAGTAGAAAACAGCTTACAAGAAGTGGGCATGAACAGAAGGAAATAGAAATGAGTGTTCTGGGAAACAATTATTCACTAAATATCAACAGTGAAAAATATAGAAACATTGATGTAGAGACTAGTCATTGCATTAGCATTTTAGAGTCTTGCAAAGTTTCTTCAAAGAAAGGCATGCATAGAGTGGCAGCTCTTCTTTCTTCCCACCCCTGATGACCAGCTGTGCCTCAGGTCCCTTGAGTCTGAATGGACTTCATGGCGGCGGCAGGCAGGGGTGGTGCTTTTCCTGGGCCCATGACTTCTGTCTACTTCTCTGCTTTCTTTGTGATTTGTAATGAGGAAGATTACTTTCCTAAATAGAGAAAGTGTAAATTTATGTTCTTATCTTTGACTGTTATGCTGAAGAGTTAGAAACCACCTAATAATAAAATTTCTTTCCTTATCTGTAAATATACATTGGCATTACCTTATTTCAAAAAGGAATATTAATTTAAAAGTTAAATAGGAACATTTTGGTACTGTTGAGTAGTTTTAGATTCCAAAAATAATGTTTTATTCCTTTACAGCACTGTCTAACAATCAGGGGCATTTTCTTTTGAATGGAAATTTTGTTGTCAGTATGGCAAAAAAAGTAATCAACATTCAAGGAGCTACTTTAGAATACAGTGGTTCAGACAGCTCAACTGAGAGAATTAATTCTACTGGTCAACTTAAAGAAGAGCTTGTTTTGCAGGTAAATACTCTATAGAT